CAAAAAAAACATTATTATAATTTTTTTTTTATTCATCATCTTCATTTTTAACATTTGTTTTTTCTTTTTTATATTCTAATGTCTCTTTAGCAGCTAAATCTTTGCCAACTTCTTTTATATTATACGTTCGTTTTATACCACTTTTCTTTAACGTTGCAATAACAGGTTCTAGAGAAGCCAAACGATCTTGTTCGAGAACATACATATCTTCATCGTCTTTTAGTTGTCTCACTGTTGTACAATTAGCGATTTGACTATAACGAATCATTTTGTTTTTTTGTTGCGCATATTTATAACCTTCGTTTTGATATTTGTCTAACGTAGGTAACAGTGATTCAAAAAAATTTTTTGTCAATTTTGGAACATCTGATGAGATGATGACTTGAAACGTATATTCAGAATCTTTTTTAGTTGCAAAACTTGTGTCATCTTTATTAAGTTTTATTTCGGCTCTATAAAAAAATATCCATTTTTTATTAGCGTGATCTGAACATTTTGTTCGCCAGTACCAAGGAAGTAATATACTTTGTTCTTCCATTTTTGTAGAATATACTAATTCTCTTTTACCGAAATTAAATTGAGCTACTGGAGATACAAAAAGTTTGCTATATTGAGATTCCTTAATTTCCTCTTTTTTTAAGTCTATACTCCATAATGTAGCTGCTGCCAATTCTGGGAATTTGACATATTGCACAATTTCTGTACAATAACCAACAGTAAACTCTGTTTCCATTTTTTGTTTTGGTATTTGAAGAAAAAAAAAAAATTTAAATGTTTATATAATATTTTTTTAAAAAAAAAACAAGAAAAAACCGGTATAACTCATTATAATTTAAATCAATAGAATTTAAAAATAGATTGAACTTTGATCAAGTAATCAAACGATTTTTTTGAACTTTGATCTTTCATTGACGTTTTTTAATCTGCTATGACGTCATTTGTTAATATAAATAGATGAAAAAAAATAGAGTTGACACATTCAACATTTTGCATTATTTTTTTATATTATTATAAAAAAAAAATGAGTTCTGAAAGAAATATTGTTATCATTGATAATAATTATGAAAATAATAATGAAGATAAAAAACGAGAAAGCGAATTTGTAGACAAAGACATATTTGTAGATTCTGAGAATGAAACAGAAAGCGAAAATGAAGAAAAGATACCTAAAGAGGACGAGAACAAATTGAAAAATTTTACGGTGAGAGAAAGATTTTTATTTAAACAATATAGAAAAGCTAAAAATGAATGTGAACATTATCGAAAAATTGTCAAGTTAATGAGAAATGATGTTAGAGAATGTGAAACTTGCAAAGTGTTAATCTATAGTTTATCATTTAAATGTCCTCATTGTCTAAACATTTTTTGTGGTAAATGTTTTGTGAAACATAATTCAATGACAAAGAAAAAACAAAAAATGAGTGATCTTGAAAATTTGAGCAAAGAAAATGATGAATTTATTGCTATTAAAAATTATTGTAAAAAATGAAATGAAATAAATGTTTTTTTTTTTATTTGACTTTTTTTATTTTGTATTAAACTTTATTTTTTTTTGAAATTTAATCATTTTTTTTGTAAATAATAATTATTATAATTTTTTTTATGTTTATAGACAAAAAAAAAATGAATGAGTTTAAATAAAAATGATATTGAAAAATATTTAAAAAGTACTTTGACGTATAGAATTAAATTTGTTGGTTTTGAATCAAATTACGTAATCAATTTTATGGAATTGGATCAAGATGCTATTAAAATTCAACAAGTTATCAATTGGTTAAGTAATCAAAAAGACATTGAGCAAGAACTAAATATGTCTAAAAAAATGTTGGACATGTTTTATAATAAAATTTTACATTATGAAATTATTTTAGAACAAATAGAAAGTGTAAAAAAATGCAGTTATTGTAATATTTTTTATACGAACGATTACTTTCCTAAATCTAAAAATAAACTTTTTTGTAAAGAATGTTTAAAAATGTAATAAAAATAATAAAAATAAAAATAAAATATTTTTTTGTTATACAAAATGTTTCTTTTTAATATTTTTTTTTTTTAAAAAAAAAAAAATAAAAACCAAATTATATAATTTCATTTTTTTAGAAAATAAAAAAAAATGAGTCTTTATATAAATAGTTTTATACAAATTCAAAGTTTGGTAAAAGAATTTCAATCCGTATTCAAAATGGATGGTAATGTTGAAGACATTTTGTTTATATTTGGTTACTTGGAAGAAGAATGGAAAGAATATTTTGATTTAATAAAAGAAGATTTGCAAGGTATAGTATTTATTGAAGCTGTTATTACAGAATGCGATAGAATTCAAAGTCTTTATAATTTTATGGGTAAAGTATTTTACGAATGGACATTGCAATTATTTGCTGGTGGTTTGAAATTTGAGGATAAAAAATTTAAAGATTTAATGGATCAAAGTCGAAAGTGGTATTCTATGTTTGATCGACTTGATGAATTACTGAACAAAAAATATAAAAACGCTTTTTTTGCTGAATTTAAAATTGAAATTAATAATGCTTTGTTTAATAAAAGACTGACTTTTTAGTAGAAAAAAAATTTGTTTGTGGGAATATGTCTTTTTATATATGTCTTTTTTTTTAATTTAATTTAAAATGATTATTTTAATGTTTTTTTTTTTTAAAAAAAAAAAAAGTTAATTTTTATTTTGGGAATAAATATAATAATGGAATTGCATAAATTACGTAAAAATTGTTCTTATTGCATGCACGAGTTTGAAGATACTTGTATTTGTGGAGATAAAGATCCTGGAGAACCTTTTATTCACTACAGTCAAGTTAAATCAATTTATCATTTTTTTCAATGCGATTTACATCCTGAAAAAGATTTAAAAAATTATCAAAGAGATTTTGACTTTTTTATAGAGGAAATAAAAAAAGCAATGACACAAAGTCAAAATACGAATATGGAACGTATTTTGTTTATTACACAGCATAGGAGAACTGTTTTTGAATTATCAGAACAAGCAAATTTGAGTTGTGAAAGATTAACATTAAAATTAGAGGAAGCCAAGAAATATTTTTGTGTTAATTTTGACGATGATCTAAAAATAATAAAAAATTTACAAAATCAAACTATTATTTTAAAAATGAGAAAAAAGATGAGTGAAATTTTACAAGATTTATTTTTTTCCTTGTATTAAAAATATTTTTTTTTTAGTAATAATAAAAATATTTTTTTTTTTAGTAATAACAAAAAAAAAACAATGGAAGATTTAAAAATAGAAGATGGAGATCAGAAATTAGCAGATTTAAAACTAGAAGATTTGAAACTAGAAGAAAATTATTATAAAAATTCATCATTATATGAAGCTATTAAAAGTATTAAATGCGAAAATGAATGCATTAAAAATAGGTTTGGTTTATTTATGCATCGATGGAACAAATTTTCTTATTATGTGCCTATGTTTACACTAAAGGATATTCACAAGAGATTGTTTGCTATTACTAAATATACTAAAGATTGGTTGCATGTTTACGATAAAGATTGGTTATATTTTATGACAATAGAAAAAGATTGGTTACCGATTAGCGACGCTCTTATTATTGTGGAAGAGTTAAAAAAGAAGTTTCCAGATTATTATAACAAACCTTTTGAAGATTTTTTTAAATATTGGCAATCGGGAGATATATATGAATGGTTAGTAGAAAAAGATATACCAACATCATCAGAATATCGTTCTACTTATCGCTCGGATTGGTTAGTTGAAGTAAATCAAAAATTGAAAGAAAAGAATTCTGAAAAAAAAAATGAATAATGCTATAGTGCAAAGATCATTAAATCAAATATTAGAAGAACCAGAAATAGTATTTGCAGAGTTGACATTTAATTTGTTTATGGATCGTTGTTTGGATTTTTATCATATTCAACCTTTTACATTAAATGAATTAATGGATAGAGTCGTATTTGCGGATAAAACTTTATTATTTTGGAAACGAGTATGTCGTGAAAAGTGTTATGATAATAATTGGGATTGTTTTTTTAAAGAAAAATTAAAAGACATACCTTTAATTTTTATTTTGGTTGTTTTGAAAGTAATTAAAATAGAAATTGATTATATTTTTAGAGATGAAAATGTAACTTCTTTTTTAAGTAATGCTGATTTTAAAATATTTTATAATCAATTTTATAAATGTTTTAGACGTACGTTTTTTTTAGAAATTTCAAAAAGAATTGACAAGGTTGTTGAATATTTTTATTAATTTTGTTATTAATTTTTTTTTTTTAGAATGAATATGAATATTTGTAAAACTAATGAGAAAATTATTAAAAACAATTTAGATTTGAATTCAGATGAAATTCGAAAAATGCTTTTAGAAATAGATGAAAATATAAAACGACACGAGACAAAAATAAAATTTGAACTTTTTGTTATAACCAACGTGATATTTTTTAGTAAATATTTATTCATGTATTTATTCTCAGAATGATAAAAAAATTCAATAATTATTATTTCTATTTTTAAAGACTCTTTTTACTAAACAAAAATGGAAACATCTGCACATGAAGTTTTGGCTTTTAAATGGCTCGATCGAGGATACAATTTTTTTATTACAGGAGGAGCAGGATGTGGTAAAAGTTATTTATTAAACAAATTAGCAACTAGTGAACAACTTTATAAAAACATTGAAATTACAGCTAGTACTGGCACAGCTGCTCATCTTATCGGTGGCATGACTCTTCACAGTTTTGCTGGAATCGGTGTGGGTAGAAATAAATGCGAATTTTATTTAAAGCACATGAAACCAGAGGTGAAGGAAAGATGGTTAAATACAGACGTTTTAATTATTGACGAAATATCAATGATCAATGCAAAAACATTTGATTTATTGCATGATTTAGCGTGCAAAATACGATTCGAAAACGAAGAACTTTTTGGTGGTATGCAAATTATTGTCTGCGGAGATATGTTACAATTAAAACCTGTCGAAGGTGATTATATATTTTAATCTGAAATTTGGAAAAAATACATGCAGCGTTCTGTGGTATTGACAAAATGTTTTCGTCAAAAAGAAGATCCTCTGTTTTTTAATGCTTTAAATGAAATTCGATTGGGAAAAGTAAGCGATGCATCTATAGAATATTTAACAAAAAGACATTTTACAAACGATCAACTCATTGACAAAAGTTATCCTAGATTATTTTTCTTAAGAGGAAACGTTTTTAAATATAACGAATTCAAAATGTCCGAGTTAAAGGGTAAAGCTACATGTTTCAAAGCTAAAGATAAAATTGTAGATAAAAACATAACTGTAAATTCGTTTCAAATTCCAACCGAAGTGACAGTCAAATTGGGAGCTGTTGTCATGTTATTAAAAAATATCAACGTTGAAGAAGGTCTATGTAACGGTGCAGTTGGTGTTGTAACTCATGTTGGTTTAAATAGCGTTAACGTTTTATTTAAAGACAACGAAATCGTTATTGAAATAATGAAAGAAGATATTCTTGATTCAAAAAATAAAATCATCGCAACTCGAAACGGTTTGCCTTTGCAACTGGCTTTTGCTATAACAGTTCACAAAGCTCAAGGTAGTACGTTAAAAAAATTAGTTGTTGATTTTTCGCATTCGGCTTTCGATCCTTCGCTTTATTATGTTTCGTTATCTAGAGTTTGTTCGTTAGAAGATCTCTACATGATACATCCCGATGTTAAAATGTTGAAGAACATTTTAAAATGTATAACTGCTAATCCAGAAGTATTGAATTTTTATGAGCAATTGAAAATAAAATAATATTTTTTTTTGTTATATTATAACTTATTACCTAAAACCGAAAGGTAATAAAGGTTGAATTATCTTCATTTTGTTTCCTTGTTGACGTATCATGGAATCTATTTGAAATTTTTGATTTTCGTCCATATTTTTATAAGCGTTATAACCGTTATACAATTTTCCCATAATATCAATCAATTCTCCTTTACCTCTTATTCTTTTTCTTTTATTTAATGTTTTTTTTCTTCTTTTATGTCTAATTTGTTTTTTAGCTCTTTTGTGTTTCATTTTTTTAATATTTTTTTTACAAGTTTGTAACCCATTAATCCTAATGCCAACGGTAACATAATACCTTTACCTCTATGTTTTTTATGTTTTTTGTATCGCCTTTTATAATATTTTTTGTGCATTTTTTTTTTATGTAAAAAATAATTTTTTTTTTTTAAGTTAAATACTTTTTTATTAGTATAGTATGATTTTTTTTAAAAGTGGTTATTTTATTTTAAAAGGTTATCTTTTATTTTTTTGAGATCCAAAAAAAAAAAATGAAAAATTACAAAGTTTACGAGGAAAAAGAACAACTGAGTAATAAATCGGTTTATAGAGAAACACTTTATTACATTAAAGACAAATATAAAGATGAAGATATTATAGAAGAAATGGAATTAGATCAACAAATGCAATCACCTGATGAAATTGTATTTGATATTAATGAAATGACAGAAATTGGATTTAATAAAGAATTTAAAAATGCAAAGACTTTTCATGATGTTTTTAATAATTTTTTGTTAGGATTTAATTTTGCAATGTTATGTGGAAAATCTGTTGAAGAAGGTATGGTTAAAGTGATAAAAAGATATTATACATCTCCTGTTTATTTTATCAAACCGTTAGAAGGACCTGTTCATTTACAATATTTAAAAAATAACAATTTGTCAGCTGCTTTTAATATTTTGGAAAACGAGAGTGGTTGGAGAATAATACGTCTTTGTAGTTTTAAAGTCAAAAGTTTGAGTCATTTATCTGATAAAAGCATGATGAAATTAAGAAATTATGAAATGGGTGGTAAACGAGTTGCTGAAATGACAGTAGAAGAATTAAAGGAAAGGAGAGAAAAAGATAGAATAAGAAAAAGATTGCAAAGAGCTCAAATGACAGTAGAAGAAAAAACGGAAACAAGAGAAAAAGATAGAATAAGAAAGCAAAGCAAAGAACCAAAACAGTTAAAAGAGGTTAAACAAAAATCGAAAAAAAAGAAAAAAAAACGCTCTGAGATGTCATTAAAAGAATTGATGGAAATAAGAGAAAAAGATAGATTGCAAAGAAAATTGACAGCTGAAAAACGAAAAGCTAGGGAATCAAATGAAACAAACGAGGTTAAACAAAAATCAAAAATTAAAAAGTCTTTTCAAAATAAAGAAATTGTATACAAAATGTTTGCAAACGAATGGAGAGGTGAATGGAATAGACCTATACAATTGAGCAGCGAACACGTACAAAAAAACTATTGTAAAAAATATGACAAAGGAAGTGTAATAAATGACATTTCAACTTATAGTAGAAAATATAAGATGCTGTTAGACTATAGCAGCTTGTTTGATTCTGGCTTATGTTTTTATTCCTCTTTTTTAATTTGCTTACTTATTCGAAAATGGCAAGTGACGACGATTGAGCAATGGAACGAAAACGTTCTCGACAAAAACGGTAGAGATTTTTATTCGGAAGACAACATTCTTGAGCATGTTTTACGCGACGAATGCGAGAAGAGTCAATGGGAAAAAAAATTAATGGAACTCAGAGAAAAATGTAAACACATGTCGTTTGAAAATTTGTTAGAATTGGCGCAATCTTTTGTTTACGATGTCGAGTTTGATCGTATCAACATCAAATTGTTCGCGGTTAATAAAAATCCGCAAAGAATAAGACTAATGCATCCTCAGTATAAATCTCAATACAAAACCAGTTTAACCGAATTGTTCAAAGTGGTTTATGAAAGCAAAAACATAACGAGAGAAGAACGAAATTGTTATCGCGATTTTGTTAACGATGAAGAAAGACAAAAGCATAACGAACACAAAAAAAGCGTCAACACTCTTAAATTGGCTATAGTAGAAAAAAAAGATCATTTTCACGCTGTGTCTATCATCAACGAACGATACGTCACTCAATTTCACGACGGCTCTTTTCAACATTGCTCGCAATGCAATGAAAAATTTGTTAATCATGCTCACAACGATTGCAAAGGTTATTACAAAAAAAATAAATTTACCTATTCTAACACAAGACAATATAAAGAAGGTCAAAAAGAATTTATGAATCGCAGTAGAAATTTGTTTCCCTTTTTTATTACCTATGATTGTGAAACTACCAACACTCCAGATGATTCTCGACAAACAAAACTAGTTCAATCCGTCTCGTCTATTTCGTACTTTTGTCATAGCGTGGTTATTCAATGTATAGATGAAAATTTAGCATTGGAATGCTTTGGTAGAGACGAAAGAGGAAAAACCATTACGCAATGGATTTATTACTACGAAAATACTATAGATAGTTTAAAAAGAAATCCTTTAAAATTGTTACCAAGCGCTTTATATGATGCAGTGTCTACGTTGCACTTTACGCATCGAGAGCTGTTATATTTAAAACTTGATCCTAGTGATCCGAACATAGAAAACAAAAAAAACGAGTTGCGTGTTTACGATTTAATTGTGCTAGCAGATACCTTAGTGCGATTTGCTTACAATGTATTGCTTCCAAAACATCAACATTTAAAGTTGTCACCAGAAGAAAGAATTCTGGTATGGGAAAAAGCAGAACCTTTGTGTACTGTTTGTCGTTATGTTGTAGACAAATTTGCTCAAAGCGATATTTTAAAATTTAAGATAGAAGAAGAATTGGAATATTTGGATCACAACGAAATAAGAACCACTTACAACGATCAGCGAATACAAGTTATCAATTTTATATTTCAAAAAATAAGTAAACTAGAACTTTTTGCATTAAATTTACAAGTCCAAAATTATTTGTTAAAACACAACGCTGAAAAAATCAAAACAGACTTGTTAAACGTGTCTACTCTTTACTATGTTGTATGTCGTTGGTGGGACGCTTTCAAATATAAAAATCCTCAAAACGGCTTATTGAGCGATTATGTTAGAACGAATTTCCATGAACTGATAGATTTAATGAAATACTTTGGTTCACTGGTTTTAAACGAGCACGAATTAAGAGTGTGGTTTGAAAACGACCCTATTGAATTGTTATCTGTCAAACACTTTTTAATCCACTTTTTTAAAAAATGTATGGAACAAATTAGAGTCGATTGGGAATATGAATTTGGAATGGGTATCAAAGACGAAGTAACGTTTTTGCACATTCTTTCTAAATTAAAGCATCCTGCTGTACAGCTATGGTACGAATGCATGCTCCAACCTTTCGACTGTGAATATGAAAATAAAGTCACTCTAAAAGAATTGTGCCGTGAAGATCAAAAGCGTGAGCGATTATTAATACATTGCCAATTATTTCTGTCTTCGTTTGAAGATTTTTTAGTAATCGATCACGATCATTTTTCTGGAAATGTTTACGGTTTGGCGCATGATTCTTGCAACAAAAACATCGGTAGATGCAATGCTCATTTGACTTGCCCTATTTTTGCGCACAATGCCGCTTTCGATAATCGAATCATGATAGTAGAAGGATTGCGCAAATTTATAGATTTACCCTTATACGAAAGCGCTGGTGATAGCGAAGATGAACCTTTTAAAGCCTTTCTCAAATATACCTCTTTTGAAGATATGTTTGTTATTGCGCAAAACACAAGCAAAGTTCGAATAATTTCTTTCGGTAAGCATATACAAATAGTGGATACTTTAAGATTGCTCAACTGTTCTCTGGAACAAGCTTGTTCTATGTTGTCTCAACCTGCTCAAAAAAAAATAATCAACAGCATGTTGCACTACTTGTATCCCATTTTTCCTCACATCAGCGCTGACAATTTGAGTGAATGCGAAGAGTTTCAACATTGTTTCATCAAAAAAACATTGTTTCCTTATGAGCAAATTAACGATGCACTTTTAGACATTGAATACAAATCTTTTCCTCCCATAGAAATGTTCGCAGAAAACCTACTCATGAGATCAAAGAGTTTGCGAGAAGAAATTGAAAAAATTAGAGTGCCTTATGAAAGTGTAAAAAAATTGTGGCATTTTTTAAAATTGAAAACGTTGAGACCGCTGTTAGAAATTTATGCCGTTTTAGATACGGTTGTTTTGGGAGCAGTCATGTTGGATTTTGACGAAAGGACTTATCAATCTACAAAATTTCACATTCTCAGTCACATTAGCATTTTTGGTTACGCTAGCAAATTTAATTCTACGTTAAGTTTGATACAAATTCAATACCCTCCTACTCAAGAACATCACGATATGATTGAAGATTGTCTCAGAGGCGGAATGTCTACCAACGGTACTCAAAGGTATGCCATTGATACAGATTATTTTGAAAAAAAAATGAACGAATTGAATATAAATTCAGAATTGGATGGTTGTGTGTACTTTTTTGATGAAAACGGACAATACGGTGGAGCTCAACTAAAGCCTCTTCCATTTCAAATGCGTTACACTTTTGATATAGATTGTAAAAATTTGCAAGAGGTAATAGACAAATACCATCGAGTCAATGCTAACGGTTTCTCCACTAGCGCCCTTGTCCATTGTCAAATTAGCATGCTACCAGAATATCAAGATAAAGTAGGAGGCTATTCGCCTATGATTAAAAAAGAAATCATTCCTTTGCAATATTATTCTCCTACAGAAATAGCATCTAAACGATATCTTAAAAAAAACGGTAAATACGCTATACAAAACGACAAGACTGTCAAACTTGTTATGAAATTGAGTTCGCACGAAACCGTAGAATGTTTAGATACTCTCATGTGGATGACTCGTCATTGCGGAGTTTTGTTAGAAAAAATTTACAAAGTCTTACCAGTTTGGAGATTTCCTTTGGCTGAAAAAATGGTTCGTGATAACATTGAAAAGAGGAAAAAAGCTGTAGAATCAGGTGACCAAGTCACAGACGCTTACAGAAAATTGTTAACCAACGGTCATTTTGGTATTTTAGCAAGGAGATCAGAAAAAAATGTCAGTCACGAATTTATTGTACATGCTGAAAATGCTTTTCAAAACATGATCAAAAATTTGCAAGATATTCGTCTCTATTTGTTAACCGATAGTGGTTATAACGATTCGCAAATAAAAAAACTCTTTCCTAAGCACTTTCAAAATTTGTTATATCGAGATGATGGCTACGTCGGTATTGAACCGAACAGATACAAATTAGATATTATAGCTAAAAAAGTGTGTCTCGATACTTACGAAACAGTAGATTATGCCTACGATACCTATTTTAAAGAACTTTTGTTTAATGTTTCGAACGATGTTAAAACCAAGAGTGTTTTGTTTTACGGAGAAAGCAGTGTAGAATTTAAAGATATTTTTGAACTTTTCAAATCTGACACTTCTTTTTATAAACAGGCTTTGATCATGAGATCGTTTGAAAAAATGAAGTCGTCAAACAAATCTCTCCGTTTGCCTGCTGCACATATATTATGTTTAGCTAAACTAAACATTGCTCAATTTTCATGGCAATTGGGAGAAATTTTACGAAAACGAGGAGGTGAAAAATTTTTAGTAGCCACAGACACTGATTCTTGTTGCAATTTTATTGTTAGAAAAAAAGAAAAAAATAAAGTTTTACCTTTTCGAGTTCAAGTAGACGAGTGGCTATTTTATTCTAGTTTTGATAAATGGCTTGATTATTCAAATTATCCCACTGATCATCCCTTTTTTTCAAAAGAGTTTGCTAAAGAAACCGATTATTTTCAGAACGAAATTCCACCGCCAAGATATATATCGCAAGTCATAGCCATGGGCGCCAAATGTTACAGTGTGGATAGCGTAAATGAAAAAAATGAAAAAAAAGGAAAAAATAGAGCTAAAGGTGTACCCAATTATAAATTACGTTTTGAAAATTACATTGACGGTTTATCAACTTATACAGCTGAAAAAATATTTAGAAATTTAAATAATCAATTGGATTGCACTATAGATCCTGTTACTCAAAATAGAATGCGATTAAATGTCGATAAAGTCACTATCAACAAACACGAATTGCGTTTTTTAGAAAAGTTTACTCAAAAAAATTATGTCTTTGATGATAACCTATTGACAGAAATAAGAGATCATTATCGTTTAGATCCTATTGTAAAAGCTAATTTAAAAGTATTACCAAACATTGAAGAATTTTGTAGCGACGAACATTTACAAACTTTGTTGATCATTGAAAAAAAAATAATTAACGACTCTAACAGATACAAAACCTTGGTAAGATTTAATAAAAATGTATCGATTCCTTTACTCTATGATTTTAAAACAAAAATCAATAATTAAAATTAAAATTAAACTAATTAAACTAATTAAAAAAATAATAATAAAAAAGGCATTTTTTGTATTAATATTAATAAAAAAAAAAAAAAAACATAAAAAAAAATTTAAAAAAAAAAATTTTTTCAAATAATAAAAAAAACTAATAGGTACTATAGAATATAATCGATAGTGAATAAACATCTCTCTTGCACTTCTGAAATTTCAATAAATACTTTTCTTCTACATCTGAAATTTTCTATCAAATTCATTATCAATATTTAAAAAATAACAATTTGTCAGCAGCTTTTTAATATTTTGGAAAACGAGAATAATTCGTCTTTGTAGTTTTAAAGTCAAAAGTTTGAGTCATTTTTTAATAAAACAATATTTTTTATTCTATATAAGATAATAAATTATTATCAATTTCCAATTTTTTTAACAACTGATTAGATAATTGTTTCAAACAGTCATTCACCTTCTTTTTGATTATATTTGATACCTATGTTTAAATCCATATTAAAATCCGTTGTAAAACCATTTTATATTTTTAATAGCTTACTAAAAAACATTTTTTGTAATCTGCACATTTTGAAGAATGAAAAAAATATTTTGACACTTTACAAACATTCATACACTGATGTCTAATAGCTGCTGTATATTCTGGTTGACGTCACCATTTTTCTGTAGGAGTTCCATTCTTAAATGCTTTTTATGTTTTATATTTTATCAAACCTTTACCAACCTAGCAAAAAATAATTTTTTTGCAATTCTTCACTTTAGGAGAAGGTATAATAGTCCTTAAAATAGATAAATTTTTATATATTTTTCTACCAAGCTCAAATCTTCTGTTACTAATTATTAAAACTAAATTATTTTACTAATTATTAAAACTAAATTAAAAAAAAAAAAATAATTATTAAAACTAAAAATTAAAATAATATAATGAATTGATTATTTATTTATATTGATACTAAACATATAACAACTCTAAAAATATTTTGACTGAAAGTTTAGTTGACAACATCGTTAATATTATTCATTTTTAAAATTATATACACTTTTATCACAATCAAACTATTTTTTACTGATGTCATCCTATTGCACTATTTAAAATAACACTTTAATCTTATCTTTCGGTTTCCATCCTTTTCACATTTTACTAGAAAACTCAATAGTTTCCATTTTTTCTTGTTATCCTCTTAAAAACAATTTTTTATATAGCTGTAGCTAGCGCTGAAAATTTGGACGGTATCATTCAACGCGTAGTTAGTTTTTCAAAAGACAAATATGGAATACAAAATAGCGATCAACGTTTTTTAAAAACCATGATCCTTTTTGATGACATTAGTTCTTTTTGTTTAAAAAGCGGTCAATATACAAGCGTATGCGCGAGCGGATCTCATCACGGAGTAGGAACCATGACAGTTTTTCATACAATACCTAACAAATCTACTCAAGCGTGGAACAATTTGGTATCCCATTACAAATGCATTATTGCTTTCGATAACAATTGCGAAATTGAAAAAATGTTTAAAAACGATTTTCCCACGTCAGGCAAAATGTATCACGCTATTAGCGATTTATTGAGCAAAGAGACATCTTTAAAACACGGTCATTTGGCATTGTTTAAAAAAAACAGTTCGGTCGCTCGTTTGCGTACTCAAGTCAACAATTACAAAGAGCAAAAAGTGTTTATACCGGTAGACGCTCAAGGAGAATTGGATTTTGATTACAAAACGATGAGCGTACACAAAAAAATTGTCAGTTTTCAATCGTTTCCGTATGTTAAGGCTCAAAATTTTAAAAATTATTACTATTTAAAATCGCATCATAATCGAGAAAAAGGAGATGAGAAGGAGTCCTACGAAATAGAAAAGCGACAACAACAAGGAGAAGGAGTAGGAGAAGGCGAAGTGTTAAATAAAGCGATAAATAAAGAAGAAGGTGAAAATAAAAAAAGAAAATTGAACGAAAGCGATAGAGCTGCACTTCTACTCCATGAACTCAAACGAAGAAAACGTTACGGAATGGATACCTCTAGCGAATCCGGAGAATCTAGCGAATCTCACGGCGAATCCTGTTCAGACTGACTTTGATTGGAACGCAGACGATTTGTTAGAATTATTGAATCGCGATTACGACGAAGTGGTAATAAGCTGCGAAAATGCTGATAAAAATATTGAGAAAAATGTTGAGAAAAAAAAAAGAAAACGCAAAAATCCTAAAAAAATTATAATTAAAACGGACAAATCAAAAAAACAAAGAACGGACATGCGAAAAAAGTTGTCGGTTCGATCGCAAATTTTTATACCCAAAATGAACAGAAGAAAAGAAATGGACGTTAACGAAATCATAATATGGGTCAAAGAAATATTAACGCGATTCAACGCTATAAAAATGTTAAAATGCGAACTTTTGTCCGATCACGAACGAATGCAAATCAAACACGCGTTCAAAGAATACGTTTGTTTAGAAATTAAACTTTTTCTCAAAGAATATTTGTATCCTTATCCTCATTTTAACGAAAAAGGAAAAATGATTTTTAAAAAAGAAAAAATGAAAGACAAAAATAAAACAATTTCAGACTTTGTTTATCACAATTATAACGTTTTAAAAGAATATTTCAACTCTACTCGATTTAAATTGTATCAAGAAATTATAAATTATTATTCTAACAAATTAATTTCATTTGATACGCCTCAACCTACAAAAACTGTTATAGATTTGTTAAGACAACAATTTGATATAGATTATTGTCAAAATAATTTTTTTGTGTATAATGAATCGATATAAACCTTATGATGTTTTTAATTCCCCTTTGCTGGCTTTAAAACACGTTTTAACGCGAAATTCTTACAATACAGACTTGTATCGCAAAAATCAACTGCAATTGGAAGAAAAAGATTCAAACGAGCCCCTGGAAGGCGCGAGAGGAAATGATAACAAATCAGATTTGTCAAACTTGATAGAAAAGTACGATTTACCCAATACGCTTCTTTACGCTGACCCTATGAATGTAGAAAATCAAGTCAACGGTGAATTGGACTTTCAATTGCAGTTTCAAAAATTGCACCCGGTTAACACGCTATTAGACGGAGACTTGGCTACTTCCTACATCACAGATCCAGAAAAATGGAAAACGTATTTGAATGTGGACGGGGACGCGTACGCTTTTACCAAAATTATAGGTCTTAACGCGCAGCAACAATTTAACGATCAAATAGATCAACGCAACATCAGCGAAACGTTAAGACAGATGAGAAATTTGAGAAAATACACTCCTCGATTAGAAAATGCTTCCACCCTCAATCCCGGTGCCACAGTTTCCAGCGTTCAAACTAGCTTAGACGCTCATCCTCCCTCGTCGTCGTTGAACGACATTATCATGCCAGGCAAAAAAGTCTATTCTTTAGTACCCATTACTCAATTCTTACTGCGTTTCGAAGTACCCAATCAAGCGGAAGTCACTAGACTCATTTATACCAACGCAGATTTGAAAAAATTTACAAACTTGTCGCATTCGTTATTAGACATGTGCAAACAACAAATCAATTGGCAAAACGGTAGCAAAAAAATTCTTTTGCGCGTTTACAAGCCTGTAACAGAAAAACCTACTTTGATCAACTTGAAAATTTATCTCGTTTACAACGAAAACATTGTAGACGTAGAAGAATCTTTAGCTGACATTGTCAACAACATTTCTAAAACAGAATATCAAGTGATTCGCGATCCGCAGCAATACGCTTACGCGGCTAACGAATTTTTTAATTTACTCGTTTCGCCGTACAGCGCGTCCAATCAAAAGAATGATTGCCGATTTTTATCAAATCAAACATTTAACTTTTGCTAAATTGTGGAACTACATACAAAAATACAATATCCCTTTTAGAGACGAAAGCAAATTGACCGAGGAAAAAAAATACGATTCCGCGTTCAAGAGTCATCCTTATTCTTTTATGACTAGTTCATTTTTTGAAAGCGAAAGTTTGACGGACAAAAGTTTTTCTGCGCAAAGAGCTTTTGAACTTTTGAGCGAAACCGAAAAAATAACCACAAAATGGGTTATTCAATACGGACAAATGTTTAAAGGGTACAAATACGAATTTTTGAAAAAATATATTCAAGAAAACAATTCCATCTTGTTAGACAAGAACATTTATAATTTAATGATCAACAATTACGACATGAACGTTTTAGGCAGCAGACCCATAGGAGAAACCATGCTCTATCTTACTTTTACAACTTTATTTTCTTTTAAACCTTCTCTACCTTTCAGAACTTTTGAAGATGCAACATCTTTATCCTATAACGTAATGGAACTTTGTTACAAATCAGACAATCAAGATTTTTTTGACGACATCAAAAGCAACGCCAACCAATTTTATAACGAAGACGATCCGACAAAACAAAAAGCAATCATCGAAATGTCAATGATAATGGGATGTTTATATTCGTCTCAACTTAGTAAATTGCCCATTTTGTTTTCAAATTATCGCAAATGTTTTGAGCTTAGTAGCGACATTAAACAAATACAACACTTTGCGAAATTGTTACAAAATTTAACAGTACTCGGAAAGGGTAAAAGTTTACACATTTATCCCAAAGCCGTTAAAATCAAGTGGGAAAAATCTAGCTTTTCTTCTACTTCTACTCCAATATCCGCTTTGACGCCTAAAGCGCCAGGCGAACCGAGATATTCGATTGGTACACCCGTTTCTTTACCACCTTTACCGACAACAAAACCCGAAGAAGAAACTCCTATTACTAGCGAAGAAACACCTGCAGACACAGGAAGCGCAGAACCTGCTCCGATTTCATCAGAAATTTCAGCTCCCATCTCTTCTTCTGAAGCTGCTCCTATAGCCGAAACTCCTAAAAAGGGAATTACATTAAGAAGAAGTAAACGTAAGCCTCCTCCTCCTTCAAGAAAATCCTCGCTATGATGAATGACGAAATGACAAAACAAATCGACTCTCTCGTGCAAGACCAACTGACGCACGTAACGAGTCGCCTTTTCGGTTTGACGCAAATTTCTAAAATTGTAAAAATTCTTTCAAAATTTA